GCTTTTGCTTTTGACCGAATCTAAACATTTCTTATCCTCAAAAAATTTTACTCCTGGAAGTGGAGGTGCTTTGCTGGGACTAATGCCAGCTGAGGGAGGCATTAATGATGTTGTTCTGTTATTGCTACTCGTAGGCTGCAGTGGCAGATGCTGGAGCTGCCAGTGACCTGAGAGCCTTCAACCCTGCCTGTCAGCTCCCACCTTGCCCTGCATAAACACCTCCAGCCAGTTCACCCTTGCTCAGCTTGTGGGTAGAACAATTCCAGTCCAAAACAGAACCCTTGTAAATCACATATTAAAAGAGTTTTACAAGCCTGTGCACTAAATGGGAGACAGGCACACAAGGGTGCATTGTTCACACGTGTCTGGAACTGAGGCCAGAAACTTCAGGGAAAGGGAAGTGAGGCCACATGAAAGGCCCGAGGGAAACAGCCCCAGTTGGGCAACTGCAGGACCACAGGCCCCTTCACAAGTCACTGGCTGGTTGCTGCAGCTGCTTTCAGCTCTCAGAGGCCTTTCTTAATTCAGATGCACCTAAAGATGCCCCAAGAGCACCCTTAAGCCAGACAAATTCAAATCCCTTCTGGGTGAGCAAAGAATCTGCTGATGGTGATAAAGGGGAAAGTTTTAGCTTCCCTGGTGCCTTGAGGCAGGACAGGGTCCTGGTGGAGTGGAGCAAGGGCTGTGGGAGGAGCAAAGGGAGGAGGCAGCAGGGCACCCAGAGGGGTCAGATGGGTTGTCTCCCAGATTTGAAGGATGGGGCTATTTGTCAGTGTGAGCCACAGAGGGAAAATGTCCTGAAGATTCAGTCCAGTGGAACAGTTTTGGTCTTAAAGCCTAGAGATGAGTCTCTCAGGGGCTGGAAGTGATGAGAAAGCAGCTGGGCTGCTGTGTCCCTGCACCCTGCAATTTAAATTAGGCTGGCATGGGCCTCAAGATGTTTGCACTTTCATCCTGGCCCATCTAAGCCTTGTCTACTTGCTTTTTTTTCCCCAAGCATGCAGACAAGACCAGGGATTTGTTAAATGGGGAGAAATAGCCTTACATTTAGCATAATTATGATAGTTATATTTGAGGGAACAATGTAAAATAGTTTTAATGTTTAGCTGTAAAAATGGCTTTAATATTTTATTTAATATTTAAACTTTCATACATCCTCCTAAGTCTTTCTTTTTTCCCCCAGGTTAAATCTGAACTTCACAAGCACTGATGATATGAAAAGATACAATTAAGTAAATATGTCTAAAGAAATTAAGTGCATTAGGATTCTGCCAAGCTTTGTGCAAGGCTTACCTCTCTTACCTCTTACTTGTTGTTGCATCTAGGCTATCTTCCAAAATTTGCACACCTTGCATAGCTTTCTTGGCCTCACTGAAGCTGCATCCCAGTGTACAGTGCTCTCAGTTGTAGCCACGAGGGTTGAATGGTGATTCCCCATGCCAGAGGCTGTGACTAGCTGGGATGGTAACATCTGAAAAGACAAAGAGATACAACAGGAATATAAGTTATGACTTTCAGAGCTGATGTGAACATGATGTTTAAAGACAGAGCAGGGTGAGGGAGATCACCAAGGCTGCCTTGGATGTTTTTGTCAGCTGATGGTGGTGCTGGCTGCCTGTGATCTTGCTGCTGAAGAGATGCAACATCTTGCTGTGTTGACAGCAAGACTCTTCTGCTACCTTGGTAGCTCTCAGCTGGGGACTGTTCTTCCCACCGGTAAGGGTCTTTGTCAAGAGTTGTACTGAGAGAGGTGTAACCTGCAGTTACTAATGACAACCTGGGGACCTCAGTTCAGGACTTTCATTGACTCTATTTCATGAAGGGTGGTTTTTTTGATTGTTACATGGGTATTCAAGCCCTCACATTCCCCAGGTGAGTGGGGGTAAGCATGAGCACCCTGCATGACCAGGCTGGGCGCATTGGGCTCTAGGGGTGATTTCTGAGCAGCACTGCTGAGCTGTTTTACACCCTGCCATCAAACTGCTGCTCCCCAGTGTCTGCAGCTGCCTGGGGCTGGGCGGGTAGTCAGAAAGCTGACTTCTTGGAGCTAAACTCTTTGTTTCCTCCCATGTGTCCTTCAGGACTCAGCTGGAGTGCATGCAGAGGCTGGAGTGCATGCAGGAGGTAGGATCTGGAAAGGGTGTGCAAGGCAAGCAGAAGTGATCCATCAGAATTGGTGTGACCTCCTTGGCTTAGTGATGGCAAAAGTAACCCAAATGGTGGCCACAAAGGAGCCTTCTTTTCTGTAGCTCACCCTTTGCAGCTTCTGTGTCAGGGATACAAACTGTCACTGTCTCCTGGTCTTTGCTTTGTGAGCACTGAATTTCAGTCTATTTTGTGAACTTCTACATTTGACAAAATGAAGCTGGTCTTTAAAGTAATTTGTACTCCAGTTCAATCCAATTCCTGGGGCCAGTTGTTTATTTCTTAGCCATCGCTTGCCTGGAAGCTCAGTCAGCCAGTACTGATCTGGTACCTGCAACAGCCAGTCAGTGTGGATATACTGACACAGGAGGCATGCAAGGGAAGAAATAGTGACAAATACTTTCTTCAGAAGTGCCCCTTTGGGTTAGCCAAAGAATGACACAATAACAGTCTCTGCATGTCCCCACTCCAACCCCCACTCAAGACAGGTCCATTTGAATAAAGTGGCTCAGGGCTGTGTGCAGTTAATGATTGAATATCTCCAAGAACAGGGGTCCCACCACCTCTCCTCACCATACTCCGGTGTTTGACCATCCTCATAGTGAAAACACTTTTCCTAGTATCTTAAGTGGGTTTTCCCATCTTCCATGTTGTACATATTTTCACTCTGTTCCTCCCCTGCTCACCTCTGAGAGGAGCCTGGCTCTGTCACCACCATGACTCTCCAGCAGTACAGAGTGAACTGGGTACTTGGCTGCTTTCTCAAAAGTAAGATGAGATGAGTGCATAGCTCTGTAAAGGCAGCCTGTCTTCTGTCCATGAGGAGAGTGAGGTCATGGTGATGCTGGCAGGGCTTTGTGTTGGAGAGTTCATTATTAATTGTGTTATCTCAACTTTCGTGCTCTCTTTGTGGTGTACCAAGTGACTGCTCTTCAACAATGTGAAGCCCTCCATCTCTGGGTAAGGAATACCTCTGGGTTCTGTCTTTCATTAGGTTTGTTCTGCTGTGTGTGTGCACAGCATTCCTTTCCCCTTAGACAGACAACCTCTTAGGCTTTAAAGCAAGCCAGGCCATAGAAATATTTACATTTTTCTATAGAGTTTGGTCTGTACACAGTCAAACAAGCATGGCACTCACTAAGGAATTGTGGGACCAGGATTCAGTGGGAGCCTGGCATCCTAAGCTGCAGCAGGCTGGCCTGCCTTGCTCTCCCACCCCTGCAGTGCCAAGACCATCTCACACAGAAATGTCTCTGTGGCCATGAGACTTCTCTGCAGGCCCCAAAAAGGGGCAGTGTGTTGAAACTGCCTATCTAGACATAATTCCAGGCAGCAGATTGTTAACATTATTCTACTCATAGGAAAAAGCTCTTCTCTGTTTTAAAGACACATGTGGTATTCGTTCAAGATGTGTTTGATGCAGTTAAATCTCCATATTTAGCAAGGAGATTATAGCAGATGCCCTCACCACTGCTTCAGGCTTTTAGGGTAGGGTTAAGGTGTCTTCCCTCCTGAGTCAGTCGTGATCCTTCACCTACTTCTGTGCACGCTGCTGACATCAGCACTGTGATTGATGGTGCAGAATCTGGGCTTTGGGGCTTATCTTACAAGGCAAAGGTTTGTTGTATCTATGTGCATGCTCTTTGTTCCCTGTTCTTTGTACCCCACTTGTGGAGCAATCTTGGCAGCTGGGGAAGGAGAGCTGGCCTGGGACTTTTAACAAGGGCATGTAGAGATAGGACAGGGGAGAATGGCTCTAAGCTGGCAGAGGGCAGGGTTAAGTAAGATATTAGGGAGAAATGCCTTACTCAGAGGGTGGTGAGGCACTGGAACAGGTTGTCCAGAGAAGCTGTGGATGTCCCATCCCTGGAAGTGTTCAAGGCCAGGCTGGCTGTGACTTTGAGCAACCAGGCCTAGTGGAAGGTGTCCCTGCCCATGGCAGGGGGTTGGAACTAGGTGAGCTCTAAGGTAAATTCTATGATTCAATGATTCAAGTGAGGCTCAATGGGAGCAACCAGGCTGTGGCATGGATACAACCAGTCCTGCAGCTCTGTGAGTGCTTGCTGATGCAGGGGTTTGCTGGAACCTACTGGATCTGGGTGTCCCACTGAAATTCAGTGGGATTCTGACTCCAGGTGCTCTGTCACATGTACTATGCTGTTACAAGTGAGACTTAAGTAGCTACAGGGATTTTCCAGCATGCCTGGGCACCTCACTCCTGCTAATGTCAGCGTAAAGTAGCAGCCTTGGCGAGTTTGAAAGTCCCACTAGACATTTACTGCAACCCTGCTCAGCCAAACCCCTCATCCAGGCTCCTTTTCCTTTCAGCTCTACTGGAGTAGCCCTGGAGATAGAGGGAACAGAAATGCAGGAGTCAAGCCCCTTGCCTGTCCTCAAAGACAGTAAATCCTTTCCAGATGTTAAGAAAATTAACTGTCTTCCTCTGTTATGAAGAAAAATCTTGGACTGAATTTATATAAGTTTATTTATTTTTATATGTATCTATGTGTGTATTGCTGTGGTTAAGCACAGTACACATTACACTGTCTAATGTGTCCACTGAAAAGTCAAGAAACAGTTTCTGTGAGAGCCACAATGTATTTCCCTGTTCTACCGAACGTATGGATGAATTTGATTTTATGTATCCTTTCACATACATGTGTCTGTATCAATACAAAAATATGGCTCTATGGACCCTTATCTATCATTCCTATAGACTCTCATCTGTCATTTCTCTATAGACTGTATGTATGATCTATATCTCTGTCTAACCCTAGAGTTTATATTCATCTAGTATATATCATGGCTACGTGTTTGTGGGTTTTACAGAAACATTTCTTTTTGTTTTGGTGCAGATGCATAAATCAGCTTTCCAAGATGATGCTCAAGGAGAGTGCTGAAGAGCTCTGAAGAGCTTGAAGGTGGCAGGTACGGGGTGGCACACTTGAACTGCTCCTGGCTGCCCTGGAACATCCCACTGAAGATAACATTTATGGTAAATAACTTCCTGCTGGTGGCATTATTGCAGGAAATGCTGAATGAATCTGATGTTGAATGGTTACAGGCTTACCTTTCCTGATAACTCTATGTTAATGTTACATTAATTATTCCTGACTTACAATGCTGTTGAATGTTGATAAAAGCTGAATTGCTACTTGAAATGCTGATCCAGACAGTCCTGTGGCAGGCGCTAAAATGTGATTTCCCAGTCTTAGGGGAAAAAGAGGGAATACATTACTGCTGCGATTAGAGCACTTCAGAAGAAATGTATTCCAGTCACATCTCATGGAGCGCTCACCTGAATCCCTCTTGCTTTCAGTAGCCTTTGCACACGACATAAAAGGAATATACACTTCCCTGTTCTTATTTAAAATTTTATGGCAGTTGCTGATGTGGATTCAGTTCAGTGTGTGTGAACAGGTCCCCACAAGAAAGGTGCTGTATGTACATAGAGCAGGAGGCATTTCCTTCGCCTGACAGCTGACACATGGGAGTAAAGCTTATGGAGCAAACAGGGAGAGACCAATTCTCACTGCTGTCACCTTCCCTGCAATTTTGAATCTGAGCTTTTTGACTCCAAACTCTGTCATTGCCCGTTTCTGCACAGCCGCTGTTTATCTCAGGTATCCCTTGTGTAACAATGCCATTTTCATGGTGTAAAGAAGATGGGAACTGTGTAGCAAGGTTGAAGACTGCCAGAACTGGGAAATCACAGGGCTTAATTTCCCACTGAGCCCAACAGTTATGTTCAGCTCTCATCCTCCAAAGTCCCCTCCCTCCAAGTGCTGTAGGGGGAAATAAGCAGCTCTGACATTTCTCAGCGCTTCCACCCCTCCCCAGAGTCAGGATGACCTGTGTGGCAGGGGAAGGGTTGAGGAAGGGAGGAGAAATATTTATAGGGTAGAATTTTGGGGGTGTGGGGAACCTTCTTCCACTGTCCTGCACAAGCAACCACTGTGGCCTTCACTGTAGGAAAAATGCTCCATCTCTCAGAGGGTGTTTGAGGTTTATGTTTGTTTATTTATTTAAAAAAGAAAGCATCTGGCATTTGTATGCAAACATTAATGAATCATTTAAAATATACTCAGCACTGCAGTTGGGAGGCTGGGATCTTCCAGCTAGAAGAAATGAGATGAAAGGGAGCAGGCACACCCCAAAGGACTTCTTTCCAAGGATGTGGGGGGGAGACAAATCTTATTTTTACCTCCCTTCTCTTCCCACCTTACCACAACTCCAGGAGCACTTCTGGCCTTCTAAACCCCCTTGGTGAGCACTTTGAAATCAGAGTTCAAAGGAGTATCTTTGAGGCTGCTGTGCCCTCTGTAGAGAGCCCAGTGCTTGCCAGTGGGTCTCTCTGAGGAAAGCAGTTTATTTCTGGCACTGTGCAGGGCCACAAATAGACTTGCCAGTGGGGAGGGAGAAGTGTGGGTTGGTCTGGCTCTGTCCTTTCTGCAGTGTCAGCTGGCAGCTGGAACCACTTGAATCCATTAAAATTCATAAATATATGAGAAGTGAAGCTCTTAAGAAGACTCAGCTGCGTTCTCGGAGGTTTGTGAGCAGCACAGCAGGCCAGGAAGCTCTGGCTGGAGCCATGTTTGAAGGCCAGTGGACAGGGTTCCACTGCAATGCTGGGATTATAGGAACTTCTGGAGTTTCTTTACAGGAGGAAATTTTCAAGTATAAACTAAACATTTAAATCTTCAGCAGTGTAACACTCAGAGAATTTCAGTTTTAGGAGACAGAAATCTTCCTGCTTTAGATTTGTCTCTGGGAAGGAGCTATAAGCTAAATCTCCCAACAGAAAAAGGTACTCTTATGTCAGGTTACACTTTCACCATCTGTTCTATCAGTGGCAGCGTGATGACGTTGTGTTGGTTGTGCCAAGCATTTTCCTTCTGCAAAGCCTACACACTCCTAGATTATTAGAATGAAGCTACTGTGGCATAAACAAATACTTGATTTTGTTTACTGCTTGGTTTTGTCTACTCCTGCTTCTCAGGCCTTTACTAGAGAGAGGAAAACAAGAACTGAAGCAACTCTGGCACCTGAGATGTGTTTAAGAAACAGAGAGAGCACTGTGTGATCCAAGCACCTGCTGAAATGTCTCCCATGCGCCCAGAGAGATGCTCTCTTGTGTTTCTCCCCTCTGGCGTAGTGAACTCATCCATCTTCCAAATTGCTTTTTGTAGAAAGCTGCTGAATCACACACAGAAACACTCATGGGAGGGGAAAAGAGACTTCCTTAAGCAGTGCTCAGCAGTGGAGGGTGGTCGAATGGACTTTCCTGGCTGCTACTGCAGGGAACGCTCAGGACATGCAGGTCCAACACCCCTGTTTATGGAAGTAGTTTGCATTTGAGGAAAAGCTATCATTTTTTAAATTTATTTTAGATAGATATAGCTTATTTCCTTTTGCCTTTGGAAACAGCTGTGACTCTTTACTGTGGTTCAAACTGTACTGGCTCCAGCGGCACTTCATGCTGCACCCGTGTTCATAAACCCTTACAGCTTCCATGTGCAGATGAACCCTTGATGTCCCTCCATCTCCTGGCAGTGTCAGTTCCTGTGGACAGCTGGGTCCAGGCCCTTGAGATGTAAAGGAAGAGCATATTTCAGTCTGTCGGGGCTCTTTCGAAGAAGCGATGCAGCTGGTTCATCTGCTGCTGTGGAACTTGGATGCCTCCCAAAGATTGCTCCTGTGTCATCATCCCACAGGCCTTGGAGGCAGGGTCGCTTAATTTTGAACAGGATGTTTCATACTTCTGAATACTGCATGACCTAGAGTGCTGTGTGGATGGAAGGTTAGAAGTGAACCATATAAAAAGTGTATCAGAAGGAGAGAGTAGGCACCTTCTCGATGTGGTTAAATGAGCTGGAAAGCATGGTGCCCAAAATGGGACAGTGCTGCAGGGAGGGATTTTGGTGATCCTCTCTTTCAGTGCTTCTTGTGAGGCTGAAAAATGACTGGTGCTTGGGCAAGAGAGAGCAGATACCCAGAACTAGAAATATGAGTGATGAGTGAAAGAGTGGAAGAACAGGTGAGTAGTTGCTGAAGGGGTCACAAAGCATCTGAGGAGTATTTCTGCAGAGGGGTTGATTTCTCTACCCAGGCTAGTGCAATAATTAATCTTTTGTGATTCTGACAGATGCCTGCAGAGAAGCAGAAATAAAGATCATGGTCTGACAGTGATTAATGCATCATTAGTTGTCAGATTAAGATTTTGGAAGTGGGTAAATAAGCTGTAGGCCAGGTTGCTGATTGTGTTTGGGTAAACTGCAGAGGCTGACAGCCTGGGGGGAGCTGGGCTTCAGCAGTTACTTACCACAGGCACTTACTATGTGTTGTTTGAAACCACCCTGTTCACAGGACAGGAGGAGAAATGGGCGTGCAATTTCTGAAACAAAGCTCTGCCTCGAGCCTTGGTTATGCTGGAAAAGTGACAAAAGGCAGAACCAACCCCAGCCTATGTTGTCCTGATGTCTTTGCAGGGTGCCGAGGAGGCTGGGCAATGGCCAGAGTTCCAGGACACCATGACACTGCAAAGCACCTGTGAATGAGGGAAATGCAGTTCTTGCTCTGTATACTCATGGCTGGGGGGTGGGGTGGGGCTGCTGGGGAGCTCCTCGTGCCCCACAGGGTGGGTAGCAGAGAGGATGGGAGCTGCATGGGGCACCACGTGGCTGTTCCCAGGGAGAGCTCATTCCAGTGCTGCTGCAGCAGGAGGCATTGCTTGGGGGGCTGTGGTCTCATCATCGTCTCTCACCCACAGGCTGTGTCCCAGTGTGCTCCCACTGCAGCTCCTGGGATGGTTCCTGGTGGGGATGGGGACAGCACTGCAGACCACGGCAGCACTCACATGAGCTGGAGTGGATGTTTGGGTGGGAGCAGCTCTGGTTAACAGCTGCCTAGGGAGACTGTGGGCAAGTTCAGGCATCTCCAGGGCTAGGCAGCAGGAGAATGGGAATATGGAGCTCCCAGATTGCAGTTTTCAACCAAGGTGCCCAAATTCTGCCAAAATCTTGCCTGTGGTATTTGCAGGTTTTGGTTTTATTGTAACAGCAGCAGTCTTTAATCTCTGTGGCTTGCATTTTCCTTATAAAAGATGGGGTTACTTATGCTCAACCTTGTTTTGCAAAGAGTGCTGCTATCTCTGTGTGAATGTTTCAGTAGACAACCACAATATTTAACACATCACATTGCTCTGTGGCTCTGCCTAATTCTTACACCAGTCTCCAAGCTTCTTAACATGTGTGCATCGTATCTGAGCTGTTGGTCGGTTTTTGGAAGAGGGATTTGCTCAGAAGCAAATCTCCACAAGGGCTGGAGAAAGAGGATGGCTGTAAGCCCTCCTTAGCCTTTTAGTATGGCATGAACAGGATGGGGGCTGCACACATCCCTTCACCTCAAGTGTTCAGCACTGCACAGGACCAGCATTGAAGTGTTAGCTATAGTCACATATGGCCATCCTGTGTTTGCCCATTTTCCTCTGAGTGTCTGGATGGAAGTGCTTTAATCCTGTCAGTTCCAGCTTTGAAAAGCTGTTGGCATCGTGTGTCTGTCCACTGGAGGCAATGAGTTTCACAGTCTGATCCTGCTGTCCTGACTGCCTGCATCAGGGGCTCTCTAGGGCCTGTTGCAGCCCTTCTCTAGCCCCAGGTCCCAGTTTTAGTCCTGAAGTGTTTTATTTTGTTTGCTGGGTGTTTCCTCTTGTTCTCCTGTTGTCATTCACTGTGACTAGTACTGCCTCATTTCTTCCCCAGAGTAACACAAAGCAAACCGATTTCCCCACATCCCACTGCTTCCGCTCGTTGTCCGCAGGGGCATCCAGCCTGCAGCACCAAGAACCTGCTCAAGACCTTCCAGAACTGAGCTTCTTTCCATGAAAATACGGAGCTGCGTCCTCAGGCTGATGTAAACTGGTGTACCTCCATTGATGTTGATCCAGCTTATACAAGCCAAAAATATGGCTTAAACTAAGTGAATCACTCTGTTGGAATGTAGCCAGCTACCTGTCCCATGAGGATGCTGAAAAGTGCAAAGTGCTTCCACCCTTTTTGGCTGATAATCCACAAACGAGCCACAAATTTGCTGTGCCAGAAAGGCTGCAGTGCCACAGTGAGTCACTTCACCCACTGTAAAATGTCACTGTTCTGGAGAGAGGTTCAGCAGCTGTTCAGCAGAGTGTAGCCCAGGTGGCAGAGATGGTCGCTTTATTTACACAGCTCCATAAATGAACTCACTGCTATGCAAAATAACAGCCCTTCCTTGAGCAGCTTCCAATGCACCTCGCTCTGGAGCAAAGCAGGACAGTGCTGCTGTGAGCCCAGGAATGTTGCAAGAAAAGTCCCAGCTGCTCCGGTGGCCGTAGGAGCAAGCACTGCATGAAAGACAGCACCGTGTCACCAGTGGGGCTTTACAAAATGTGTCTGGAGGTCAAAACCCACCTTCCCTTTTGCTTTCTTTCAGGAAATGCAAGGAAAAGAATTGCTCCACCTTGCAGGTACAAAACAAGATGCCACGTTCCTCACAGCAGCCAGAGTTGGCGTGGATGAACAGCTCTCCCAGAGGGACCTGCTTCCCTGTGGGAAGATGCTGCCCAGGACAGTAACGTTTCTGCTACTAGAGCTGAGGTAACATTTTTCAGATTCCCCGGGATTCAAGGGTTTGTGACATCGGGTCACATCCATCTTTTGCCTTTTTTTTTGTTTTTTAAATTTCCTCTTTTCTCAGGGGGAGCTGGTGCCAAGAGACTTCTCACAGTTAGGGGTAGGGCTGCAGGACCATGGGCTCCAAATTCCACACTGAAAGGGATAAGGAGGTGGAGCAAGAGGGAGGCAGACTACCAGGCACTCTGAACCTGGGCTTTCCCTGGAGTTGTTCATGTGTGCAATTACCAGGGTTTTCCAAGGTAAAAGGCATCAGCTGCTGTGCTGGCCGATGGTGCAGGATCAACCATTGCCAGCTCTGCAAAGCTGCACCCTGGAAAGAGCTGCTGTGATCGGAAAGTGGAGTTTATTAACTCCAGATTTTTCCAGTGAGGCTGGCACGCCAACAATAGGGTCTGAACACAAAGGATCCCTTGCAGATATAAATCAGGGGAAGGCATCTCCAAAGGCTCCTGCTAGCCTGAGTCACGCACAGCCGCTGTGCCAAGTGCCAGCTGCTGAGTGGCAGCGGGCCTGCAGCTGAGTCACAGGCACCCAGCTCAGGGGGCATTACTGGTGGCCTGATTAGCAAACCCACTAAAAATGTGCTGTGCTGACTGCAGAGCACAGGTGCCTCAAACAGAGGGCTTGCCCCTTACTGATGGGCAAAGGGGGCTTGGGGCAGCTGGTCAGTCAGTAGGGGAAAAGGAGGAGGTGAGTTATAGGTCCCCGGGTGCTTCAGTTGAGGAGAGGTGTTAGGGAATAGCTAAGGGATTTACCCCTGATGGAGGAAGTAGGGCAATAGCTATCGCTGTCCCAACCATCATAACCCTCTACCTCCTTTCACATGTTTAGAAATATCTTTATTATGCTATTTGGTCTACAGGAACAGATGGAAAGGTTGGAAAGGTTGTCTCCTACTGTGCTTGATACAGCCCCACAGCTGGAAATAACCATCCCTGGAGCTGATCCAGTACAGAGAAGATGTATGTGCACCCTTTGTCTGCTCTGGCACAGCATCAGCCTTCCTGGGGCGAAGGGTGGGAGCCTGAGCCTCTCCTCCTGTGGCTACAGCAGGCTAGCACTCACCCAGCTGGCTGGCAGCTTAAAGGCCTCCTAGCTCTGCTTGGAAGAGGACCTTTCACTTTGTACAACATCCTTAAGAAAGGTTTAGGAGAGGGTTGGGTACATCAGGAACAGCTGACAGGATGGGGAAGACAGCAAACAACTCTTGCTGTGCTCCTCCTGTGCATTATAATGTCTCTAATCTCTTGACTCCCCTGCAAATGCTGATGGAATTCACTGACAGATGAATGCTTTCTAGCAGCTAAATGAGTAATTGTTCCCTTTGTGTTGGATTTATTTAGTTTTTTGTTTTGTTTTGTTTTTTACAGGGGAAAGGCCATATTTGGGACCTGACGTTGGGTCAGAATTGGAGCTGGAACTTTGAATACAATTTTTTTCCCTCCAAGATGGTCCTGTACTCTACTCTCTCAGCCTTGTCCTCAGGTAAGTGCTCTACTTGCTCTACACTTGAGCACTGAACAATTTTTCTTGCTGCTTCTGAACACATCAGGATGCTGAACTCTACTTTTCATGTCCGTTTTAATAATTGATCATCTTGAACCTTCCCATTTTGCTTGGAGTATAAACTTTTTGTGGGGACACTTTCCTGTTTGCACCCACTCTGTAAATCTTGATGTTAGTCTTTAATTGGGACCTTGTTGATATTTCTGCAGAGTAAGTAGAGTTATTGTATGTCTCCAGAACTTAAAATTCAGGTGAGAGCAGCCTGTGTGGGTGCAGGGATGTGCACGGCAGAGACAGGCAGAATAAAAGTTCAGTTATTTTTCTTTTCTTTTTGTGCCGCAGGACAAACCTTCCAAAAAAATGAAGGCTTTGCCACATGTTTTCTATAACCAGCCAAATAAAATATTATGTTTGATATCTTTCAGGCTAAGGGAAATAACTCAGGCTCTGGGCTTGGCATTTTTTCTTCCTCACAATACTTTCTGCTGAATGATAATCTTTAAAACTATGCCTGTGGGGGGCCAGATCCTGACCCCCACTGCATCTGCTCTGCGCTCCTGCAAAAAGTGCTGAGCAGGCAGAAAGTGAGTTTAGCTGAATTTCTGGAGATAACCTTGCCCCAGTCTTCAGCTGTGGGGCAGGAGACTGGGCACTATGGCCAGAGTATGACAGAAGGAAGAGAACTTGTGATACTTGTGTATTTGGGATCATGCTGGGTGGGGCTGTGGATATTTCCCCCAACAGCACCCCAGGGGTGAGGTGGTCCCTGGCTACGCTCACATCTGGGCTCCTGTGCATCAGGGCACAGGAGACAGAGCTGTGGCTGTTTTCTGGACACAAGTATCATTGCCACATGAGAAATGCATGTGTCACATGGAGTGCAATTTTTCCAGCTTTCTCATGTGTGTGTTTCCTGATGCAAACTTCAGAGTGTTTGGTTACCACACAGCGATCCCGAGCAAGCACAGCAGCTGGGGCATTCCTGCTGCAGGCTTCCCAGTGCCCGAGTCTGTGGGCAAGAACACACATCTCTGTCATGAAGCAGTCTCCTGGAAGTGTTCCCTGGAGCGAGTTTTCCTTTCAGCAGCAAGCAGGGGCATTTGCTATCTTGGAGGGCCTCGCTGATGTATAACTTGGTGCTGATTGCTACAAGCAGTAGAAACTTTTTCTACATTAAAACAGAGAAAATCAAGCTGGAGTGGGCTGGAGCTATTCATAGAGCATGCTGTGTTTGAGTAACCCAGTAGTTTTCTTTAAAGACTCTGAATGGCTTGGTTTATACAGCTTTTTTTCACTGTTTAAAATTGATGTCTTGTTTTAACAATAGATCAGTCTTGGCTAGTTTAATTTAAAAAAAAATAATCTGCATTGAGTTTATCCATAATTATCCACCTCTGAAATTCCAATTTTGCCTATTCTCCATTTTCTCACAAACTGACAATACTCTGAGCTTTCCTCAGAGGGATGGATCATGAAACAGAGAATAAGGAGGAAATTTAAGTTTTCACTACAATGTATTATTAAAAAGCATAGGGTATTTTTTTTTGTTTTGTAATGATGGAGGAAAGATTGAAAATGAGAGCTGAATATACTCCACAGGTTCAAGAACCAGAAAACCATGAATAAAGAACCCAAATTCCATTGCAATTTTTTGTTTGCTTGGGTTTTTCTGTTTTTAAACAAGCAAGAGGGTTTCAGAGGCTTCATTTGCACATTTATGCCTAGGAATGGCAGTGCTGGGATGCTGTTGAACACTGCAGGACATCTGCTCCAAATTGCACTGTGTCTTCCCTTATCATTAGTCCATTCATCTTCCCAAAGTCCTTCTCTTTCTACCCCAGTGCAGTTTCTCACTGAAGGAGTTTGCCGTGTGACCCAGTTTGCTGTGTTTTCAGTTTGCTGTGTGACCCAGAGGAGCCTGCAGCTTGCAGGGTGGGTGCCTCATGGCTGTGCCTTTCCCAGGTACTTCCCACAAGACAAATATCCATTCTGTCTGCTCCCAGAGCTGGTTGCTGCAGGATATGAATAGATTCCTTGGTGCACACTTCCAAAACTGGGTGGTAAATGGTCACTTCTGGTAAAATCCCAGCCTGGTTTGAGGACTGCTGGCGGTGGCAGCTACAGCCGTGGGAGGCTGATTTGATGGCCTGCCTGAGGAGCACTCTCTCAGCATGGGCTGAGCCTGTCACCTGCCTTCATGTGCCATGATGCCTCTTCCACTAGGGCTGCCCCCAATGTGGGCACCAAGTATATCCACTGATAGAGAAAAATCCCAGGGAAGGAGAGGAAAAGCACAGGTACTTTCTTGCTGCAGCTTTAGTCAGGACTTTGCTGTTTTGCTGCTAGTAAAGGGAATTGTATTTTTTTTTTAATCCTTCTCTTCTCCCAGGTTTCCAAAAGGATTTATGCTGTTCCTTAGCAGTCTTATGTATCCTGTTGTACATCCCAGTCACTGAGGAGGAACTGTGCTTATCCCAACCAGCATCCACTGAGCAGCCAGACCACTTGTGACAGAGAGGCACAGCTCCACCTTCTTTGCTCCTGAGCACTTTCTGCTGCTGGCTTTGCTTCTCTACCTGCTGTTTATAGCACAGGCTTGTCACAGATGTAAGCTCATTAATCATCCCAAGCCATGCTTCCCTGATTCCATTTATAGCACCTTCCTCTATTCCGTTTCACAGCCCCCACCTTGGTCGCTGCTCAGTTCTTGGAATCTGGGCTTTGTTTTTACTTAAACTTGGAATGGATAAAGCATGAATAAAGAGGAAAATTTGGAAAGGCAGATGAACATCACAAGCAAAGTGTATATAGGAGACATCTAATGTTAGACTACTTGGCCTAAAGTGCATGGGCAGAAGACTGGCAGCAAAGCTATTGCATTAAGTGAAATAGAGACCATTTACCCTAAAAAGTTAATAGGCACAGGACAGACAAACAGGAGCCCTTTCATCCTCTTGAGATTTCTTGTGTTCTGCCAGCAGCTGAGATTGCTTTACTGCCCTTAGCACTGGTCAGTCCAGTGCTGACCCTTGGCCACCAGCCTGGCTGGAAGTCCCATGGGCAGCCTGCAGGGGGAGGGGAAGTGACACGGAATGTAAAATTCTCTGCTGAGGTATTTAGGTGCCCAAACATGCAGAGAGGCAATTAGTGGCCTTTCAAAAGTGTGGTGGTTTGACCCTGGCTGGATGCCAGGTACCCACCAAAGCCACTTTATCACTCCCCTCTGCAACTGGACAGGGGTGAGGAAATACAAGAAAAGGCTCATGAGTTGAGGCAAGGACACGGAGAGATCTCTCACTGATTACTGTCGTGGGCAAAACCGACTTGATTTAGGGAAATTACTTGAATTTATTACTAATCAAAATCAGATAATGAGAAGTGAAACAAATCTTAAAAAACACCTTCCCCCCACCCTCCCTCCTTCCTGATTTTCTACCTCCTCCCTGCCACAGCAGCACAGGGAGATGGGGAATAGAGGTTACAGTCACATGATGTTTCTGCTGTTGCTTCCTCCTCAGGGAGAGGAATCCTTCCACTGCTCCAGCGTGGGGTCTCTCCCACAGGAGATAGCCCTCCACAAAATTCTCCAGCATGAGTCCTTCCCATGGGCTACAGTTCTTTGCTAACTGCTCCAGTGTTGGTCCCCTCCACATGGTCTGTCTTTCAGGAACAGGCTGCTCCAGTGTGGGTCCCCCATGGGGTCATGGGGTCCTACCATGAAACCTGCTCCAGTGTGGGCTTCTCTCTCCTTGGATCTGCAAGTCCTGCAAGAAGTCTGTTCCAGGATGGGCTTCCCACAGGGTCACAGCTGTCTCTCAGGCATCCACCGCTCCAGTGTGGGACTCCTCCATGGGCTGCAGGTGGGTCTCTGCACCTCTGTGGTCCTTCATGGGATGTAGGGACACAGCTGCCTCACCATGGTCTGCACCACCAGGCTGCAGGGGAATCTCAACTCCAGTGCCTGGAGCACCTCCTCCCCCTCCCTCTCCACTGACCTTTGTGTCTGCAGAGTTGTTCCTCTCACATATTCTCACTCCTCTCTTCTCTGGCTGCAATTACTTCTGCACAATAACTTTTTTTCTTTCCTTCTTAAATATGTTATTCCAGAGGTGTTACTACCATCCCTGATGGGCTCAGCCTTGGCCAGTGGCAGGCTCCAACAGAGCTGACATTGGCTCTGTTGGACAAGGGGGGAAGCGTTCGGGGAGGACATCTATGTAAGCGAGCACTCGCTTTGCGCGACTGTCTCATCTTCGAAGCACCTTTTGATCAATGGCAGCAAGAGAGTGATAAGTTCTTCGGGAGATTGGAGGGAGAGAGGAGGAAAATACCCATTTCAGGGGTTGAGTCTGAAGAGCCTGACCCACCTTGAGGCCTTGGAAAACCTCACCAGGCACCTCTCTTCATTTTTAGGCTCTTAAGTATCTTGGGAAATATGCTTCAAAGTAGTTATTACTTCTGTTGAGCAGTTCCTGCCTGTTCAAGACTGGGAACAGAGTCTCAGCAGTGTGTGGAACTTGCTGTGTGGAACTGCTGCCATAACATGAGGGTTGTACAGATTACAGGGATGGAAAATGACTCCTCCAGTAGCATGTTCCTAGCTGCCATTGGTTTGCAATAGGTCTGTCAACAGCAGCTGGAGAGATCCTGGAAGACAATATGTCAGTTGCCTGGGTTGGTTTTAATTCTTTAATCCTTTGTCTGCAGCTAACGTGTTGCAGTATTGCTTAGGGGTGAGCTGTGCTGATGCCACTGCTGTACTCTTGCTGGTTTGGAGCATGGGGTCTGCCTGGCCAGGTCTGGGAGGAGCTGGGAAGATGGACTGGTTTGCAGTGCTGTTTGAAAGCAGCACAGACCCGTAAGTCACTTGTATTTATATAATTTTGTCCGTCTTTTTCTACATCTGAATTTCAAACATCCGTTATAAGGCAGTACT